CAAAAGAGAAAAAGCTATGGCTGAAACCCATTAGAACACTCTGACCTCTGGCACTGTGAACAGGCCTAGAATCAACAACTGTAAGTTCAAATCCCACTTCTGCCACAGACTTGCTAAGTGACTTGTCACTACTCTTTTGTTCCTTTCTTTCATAATATACAAAATAAGTTTCAATAGTTTAAAGACATCTGATGTTATAAATCTCAATCATACCCACTTAGGTATGTCCAAAATATAGGAAATTTTAAAATTGTGTTATGGACACTAGACTTCTAAACTATTCTTAACCTCAATGCAATTCTCATCAAAATCCAAACAGGATTTTTCTTTTTGGGGTGATAGTGGGTACATGACAAAACATTTCTAAAATACATCTGAAAGATAAACTTCAAAGTAGGACAAATTTCTCAAAAAGATGAACAGTGATGAGTAACTTGTCCTAGCAAAAGGGGAATTTTTTTTTTTTTTCATTTCAAGAGAGGAGGGGCCAGATGCAGCTCATGCCTGTAATCCTAGCACTCTGGGAGACTGAGGCAGATGGATTGCTTGAGCTCAGGAGTTCAAGACCAGCCTGAGCAAGAGCGAGACCCTGTTTCTACTAAAAGTAGAAAAGTTAGCTGGGTGTTGTGGCACGCACCTGTAGTCCCAGCTAATTGGGAGGCTGAGGCAAGAGGATCCCTTGAGCCCAAGAGTTTGAGGTTGCAGTGAGCTGACACCACAGTACTCTATCCAGGACAACAGAGCAAGACTCGGTCTCAAAAAAAAAAAAAAAAGGAGGGAATTCAACACAAATCAAATATGACAATTTTCAAGACTATAATTATTCTTACACAATTAACTGAGTGCCTTACTAATCTCATTTACAGTATATTTATTCAAGTATCTAAAACCAACACAAAATACTTTTCTTAAACCTTAGAAAAGAATTTCCAATACCCTGATCTAGCTTTACAAGTATATTTTTAAGAGAACAGCATAGTACTCATACTTTTTTTTTTTCTCAGAAAGCTGACACCTCTGAGTCTTCAAGAGAGAAGGCATGTTGTGAAAATAAAGAGATGTTTGAGTGAATACTGGGAAAAGAAGTTACACTGCCCTCGATTATTTCTGTACTCTAGCCCAGGTTCACTAACAGACTATGAGACTCTGAACAAGTCATTTTACCACACTATACTTTTCATTGGTTAACATTTCTCTTATTTTTAAAACGAATGTAAAATGTCATCCCACTCAACTAGAATCCTTTATAGGAACTGTTTTAGGAAACCTTGAATGGAGAAGGAAAAAAATAAATAACAGCTATTTCTAACTGCAGAAACGGTAATGTTGCACATGAGTTTGGAAAAGGCTGCTGCAGAACACATGAAACAGAGACAGTTTTCATAGACAGTAACAGAGAAGCATTAAGGAAAACAAACCCAAGGAATTTCTTAGTCTACAACCATAGTAAATACGTACTACTTACTTACCAGTTATTGAGTACTAACCAGTGACTACTATAGCTAATTGCCATGTACAAAACTAAATATCAAATCATTTCAATCCTTACAATATTAAAAAATAGGTTTTTTTATTATTTCTGTTCTAAAGCAAAGAAACTGAGGCACAGAGAGATTAGCTGACTCGTATAAAATCACATGGCTTGAAGAGGCAGAGCCATGCTCTGAACTAGTGCCCTATACTGATAAGATAGTGATGGGCCTAAAAATTAAACATAAACACTTTAGGATGGTACCACAGGACATGCAGATAGAGCTATTTTTAACAGGCTAAATACAAGAGTCCTATACTAAGAGTATAGGCATAAATTTTACGAAAAATTCAAATCCAAGGATAAACAAGAGCCACATGAAACATATGAAGCAACTAGATCTTTAAATATTCTATAAATTTAGAAAAGGGCTTTAGAATCTAGTTGCTTAAGAAGGGAATTCTAAATGACTTGAAAATTATTAGAACACACAATTGCATATTTTATGGCAAGAGAGAATGTGGAAATATCCCCAAAGGAACAAAGAGGCATCAGCAATGGAACAGGAGGAAATACCATGTGATACATATTACACGCAAGGCGCTATATTTGCTTTACCTTTTTTTTTCATTTCATTTAATCCTCACAACACAGTAAGTATAGTATTATCATCTCCATTTTAAGAACACAAAAATTAAGGCTTGAGAAAATTAATGACCTAAGCTGGCAATTAGTAAACTTCTGGTAAGAAAAACTGCAGAACACACAAGACAAAGTTAGTAGAATGGATATTTGGTAAATTTGGATGAAGTGTAATCCTGCAGAACTCAAGGTAAATGTTTATCCCCTTCAAGATCATTCAAAAGACCAGACCGCCAATCAAGCTCTCAGGGCTGTAGATGGGAAAAGAAATTAAAGGCATGTAGTAAAGTTGCTCTTGTGGCCTGGGATGCATCTTATCTACATTCCCTCTCCCTGACTCTATACATGTGGTTAAAGGACAATTCAAAGGGACTGAATGTCAAATCTGAACAAACAGAATATGTGTGTGAAAAGATGAGTTGTGAACATTCATTTATTATGATCACATATTATATATAAGGTAGAGGCAATGCCAACTCATCCATCTAACACTAAAAGGAAGTGGTTAGGCATGATAAAAACAGTTACTCTAGAGTTCTCAGCTTTTGTTCAAATAGTAAGAAGAAAGAAAACTTGTATGGAGTTTTTTCTCACTTTACTGACAGACAGGTAAGAAGGGAGAGCTCTGATAAAAAGAAAATATATTAAATAGAGTAAAAAGCAATATAGAAAAGGGTATTTTTGTTATATTGATGGAAATATGTTGCGAAGAAGATTAATAGCCCACACTGGGAAGGGCAGAGGATACAAGACATCCTCCTCTTGGTTTCCACCTTCATGTAAAAAAACCCCACAGGAGTGGGCTTAAAAGAGCAGTGAGAAGATCATAGACAAGGGCCAAATGGAGCAATTCAGGGCTTTTTTCCTGAGGTTTCCTGTACATTCCAAAGGACTGGAAGAAGGACAGGGAATATTTGGAAACTGCTGTCACTTTACAAGAAAGAGATAAAGGTAAAATTCAATTTGTTTCTAAGTTGTCCAACCCAGATCATGATGAGGAAAAAAAAAATGAAGTGATTCAGAGTAAAACTTTTGGCCAGAAATAAAGACTGTGCATATGCATACATTTTCCTTGTGCTGTAAGAACCTGAACATGTGGATGGTGTGCAAGAGAGAAAGAAACTTTAAAATTACTTGATGTTGTGAGGAAAACATGGGGCTAGGACTCAGAACTTTACTAGCAATGTGATAATGAGCACACCAGCTAACATCTTTAAGGTTCAGCTACTGAATATGTAAAATGGAAAATACCTGCTCTCCTCATGGCAAGGATTATTATGAGCATTGAATATAAACAAACATTTTATGGCTAAAATAAAAGGATATGGAGAAGAGAGGAAAATAACAAATTATGATTCTGATCATAAAGAAAAAATAAATTTCAAATTTGTATTGATAAAACAAATGGGATTAAATAAGGACATGTTTGTAACTTTCAGAATAAATTAACTGTGAATATAACTTTAAAAATCTGTAATAATCATATAAATGCACATTAAATACAAATTATTATTCTAAGGAACAGAATTTTAATGCTAGAAGGAAAGGATGATCTAATCTAAGATATGAACTTAATCTTAACAGGAACCGGGCTATTCAAGCAGAACACATAAATAGCTGGTCTTGTTAAAATACAGCTGAGAGTCGGCTTGTTTTGTCTCTCCCCTGCAGGACTCCAGAAAATTTATACAAAAGTTCTCCTTTGGAACAGTTTTAAAACTACAGATTGAGTGCTACCACTGATTTCTAAAAATGAGGAGAATAAGGCCAAGTAGGTAAGTTGGTCAAAATAAAACCAGAGTCAGGACTGGAACCCCACTCTCTAGATTTAGTCTAGTCTCTGATGTTCTGTTAAGTTTTTTAATTTAAGAAAAAAATATGAGTTCTCTTTTTGATTTTGTAAATAATTCTACTATCTCTCTTCTTTCAAATCTCCTTTTCCCTTAAGATCATTCAACTCCAGTCTTTCTGGATACATGTAATTGATAATAGATCAGAGAAGTTGAAAGAAAAAAAGAGAAAAAGAAAAGTCAGCCACCTCCAAATCATTCTGTTCAGCTTTAAAGGTAACAAATAGGCAAAGTTGTTTAGACAACAAACTGGTGTGGAGTGAGCCTCAGTGTCCTTAATTGCTTGCAACTAAAATTTTCAACGGCCACCACAGAAGAATACAGAACGTGTTAGAACAGAATGTTCAACAATTTGTCTCATTTTGTGCAAAGGCCTTTCATTAAATGTTGGATGTTTGGAAAACGGTACTTAATAAACAAACCACGATTTTTAAGGACCCAGAAGAAAAATGTTAATGATTCTCACGTTCTCAGATTTCTTATCAGAAGTCAACGTGGAACATAATTAACTTATCACAAGCAATTTTTAAAGAAAATTCTCAGTATCTCTTCCCCCATAAGAAAACCAAAGTGTTTTTAAATGAATGCGCGTTCAATAACGTTGAAAACTTAGGCATACCGAACTTTTTTTGGACCGAATATAACATTTTCCGTGAACTTTCAGATATTAAGTAAAGCCTGGATCCCGAATGATTCCTAATATAGCCGTGTATACGGCGTAAATCACTTCATGATCGCAAAATGCGAGAAAAAATTTCAGTTTGTCTTTAGACAGTCACTGCGTGGAATGCAGAGCAAATCTAGCTGTGTGTTCGTTAATTTTTAATGGCGCTATCCTAAGAACATTTTTAGGAGTTTAAGCTTGCCTCATTGCTTTTCCCGAGAAAGATACTTTGATTTGCCTCTCCCGGGAAGGCAAGAGGCCGACAGGGAAACTCAAGCAAAGGTCGACAATTACAAGGTCATGAAACTCCGCGACCTCCCAGCCGCCAGCAAGACCTCAGGTTTGCACTCGGCTCTTTAGGGCAGACACTGACCTTAGGAGTCTGCGAAACGCCCACGCTCCACGTAACTTTTTCTGAAACATTCTCTGGAAAGCTTGACTTTTTCTAGCAGAATCTGAGCTATCCAGCTTTCCGGAACTCGCGGGCTTCCGGAGCTACGCAAGACCCGGAAGTGGCTGAAAAAACTGGGGAAATTACACCAACGAGAACTACGCTTTAGCGTTCCGCGGAAGGTCCCGGAGGGCCCAGCAACAGCGAACGCCCACGAGCCGAAGACCCGAAGGGCCGAAGAGCCGAAAAGGACACTCTCGCACGGTGATTGGTCGGCTGGCCGCTCAGAGGAAATCCGTCTCTGATTGGCAGGAGAGTCACGAACCGGTCAGCCCCGGGTCAGGGGCCGCTAGAGGAGAGGCTGCGGTGTCAGGGAGCTGAGGGGAAGCAGGGGCTCTCGAGGGCAGAGCTTTTTCTACCCGAGCACGCCACAACGGGCTGGTGGACAAGCGCCGCCGGGTGGCAGCGGGGCGTCTCCGCACCTCCGGGGCTCCTTGTTCGCCTTGTGGGGAAGGCCGGCTGCGGGATGGCCTGGTGGGGAGGGAGCCCTCGGGCGGGACGGCTGCGTGGAGCCTGGGGCAGTTGTGCGGAGCGTGGAGACCTGCCTCCACCAGGGCCAGTGTGCACAGGGTGGGAAGCTTACCTACCTCTGCATGTTCCGGAAGGCACGTAGCTGGTCCAGTTAGTTGTCCGCCCTGCAAAGCCGCCCCCCAGATCCCCCGTAGAGCTGACTAGACGCGCTCTCACCTTCCTGGCAGCTCGCACCTGGCCGTAGGCTTCCCGCCCCGGAGGCGCGTCACATCTCCCCGGTAACTCTTAGGAACACGGGCAGCCAGGTTGCCCACCCCTGGGGAATGGAGTCAGAATTTCTGGGAGTGAGGTCCGAGGGAAGAGCGCTCACCAGGCAGTTATGTGTAGCGGGCCTTGAGAATGTCCACTGCCTTCTCCCTGCATGGTGTGAATACCAATGTCTGTCTAGCCGGTTGGTTCTAAGGTCTGAATGAAGTCAGGTAGTTCGAGATTCCGGAACATAGTAGGTTTTAAGGTTTTAGTTCTTGCCTCCACTCTAGACTCCACCACACCCCATCCATCTCCACGCCAAGAATACTTAGTCCTACAACAGCTCTATTGTTAGATTTTTGGAGAGCTTATCCTGTAGAAGTATGAGAGAATTTTTTTTCCCTTGTCTTTTCATCACAGAAATTGCCTTGTGGAACCGAGTTGTTAAGCTCATAATATGAAACATGGTTAATATAAAAGAAAATGTATTGATGAATTCTAATACTGTCCAAATTCGTTTCTACGTTAAAGATGTACAATTTAACGTATACCTGAAATGTTGCATTCTGTACGTTAAAGAGATCTTGGAAAGAAATGGGCCTGAGGAGAAGCAGAAGGATGTTATCTTGTTTAGTGAAAGAGAATCCTTCCCACCATGTGAAGCAACAGCACAAAGGAGATAGAGTAGGGGCTACAAATTGATAGGGTATGTAGTTCTCCTAGGAAGAGGCGGAGATTTTTCTAGAGCTGCATCTGTCCAACAAAGTAACCAAAGTAACTGGCCATTTGAAATGTGGCTAGTCTGAATTGAGGTCTGCTTTAAATGTAAAACATGCACCAGATTTCTAAGACATGGTATGAAAAAAAGAATAAAATATTTCATTAATTTTATATTGATTACATGTTTAAATGAGAATGTTTTGGAAAATTTAAAATTACATATGCAGTTCCCATTATATTTCTATTGGATACTGCTGTTCTAGAGAGTAAGAAAATCTCCGAAGGAGAGCAAAACTTTCATTTAGCAATTATGAAAGAAGGCAGCCATGTTGCACTTCTCAGGTAGCCTACAGATGTACTGTGTTTCACTTAATTTTTATGGGAGGGGGTAAAAAGGACCCCCCCCCCCAAAAAAAAGACCAACGCAGAGGACATTTTCAGAAAGCAAGTTCAAACTTGTGGAGCCTCGTGTCTGTCACATGAACATCACAGTATTGAAAATAATAAAGGTACCAAGTAACGAGAAATTTGAAGTATGTTTAACAAACCTGATTAAGAATACAGGGAAACAGGTATAACATTTAAGATTATGTTAAATAGGTTTAAAATAAGTTCTGCATTTTAATGTCTAATTTCTAGATACAGTATACTTCTTTAGTTTTCCAGTGAGCTAGTGAGTTGAAGTTTCAGGGAAGCTTCATTTCCAGGTTTTTTTTTTATACTTGCTTTAAAATATATTTATTTTTCATTCATTTATTTAACAAAAGCTTGCTGGGGGTCAGGAGTATTGCTAGGCAGTGTTGATAAAATGTGAAGACAGAAGACAGACATGGTCCTTGCTTTCTGAGAGCTAATGCGTATCAATTCAGAGACAGTGAATAAGTAGATATTAATAATAACCAAGGCAAGTGTATTTTGCCTTTCAGTAAATGCTTACCTCTGTAAATTCAACACGCTGGGTGTTTTAAATCTAGAATTTATACATTCCTGCTGACATGTTAAGAGTCTTTGTTAGGACTTAGCTGTGGGCTTAAGAAATATTAACAAAAAAATCAGAGTTAATTCATTCATGACTATGAGAACCTAAAGGAGAAAAATTAAAATCAAATATTTCTTTACCTTTAAACATAAAGAAAAGATGAAAAAAAATTTATAGTAGCATTTTATATCCTCTTTTAGCCTTTTAGCAATTTTTAGTTTCTAAGAATTTAATAATAGAAATGTAAAGAAGATATTGATTTATGCCCCTAATATAGTTTAAAATTGCTGACTTTACGAAGTTAAATTTATTTTAGCGTATTACATAGTACTTAAATCAATATATTTTAGTCTTTTAGGAAAAAGTTAAACATAGATCTCATTTTACTACTGCTGCTGTAACAAATTATCACCAAGGTAGCGGCTCAAAACACCAATTTATTATCTTATAGTCTGTAGGTCATAAGTCCAACATGGGTCTCAACAGTCTAAAATCAAGGTGTTCCTTTCTGGAAGCTTAAGGGAAGAATCTGGTTTTTTGTTCATTCAGGTTTTTGGCCAAATTGTACAATGCTGTTATGGAATTGACATCTCTGTTTTCTTGCTGGCTGTTAGCTGGGGGATGTTCCCAGCTTCAAGAGGCCACCCATGTTCCTTGGTTGTGACCTTCTTCCTCCACCTTCAAAACCAGCAATGGTGGATTGAGACCCTCTCATCCTTCTAATCTCTCCTTCTTTTTCTTCCATTGTTGTGTCTCCAATTATAGCCTTTTAAGAATTTATTTGATTAGATTGAATCATTCTATCTCAGGGTCAATATTTTAACTACATCTGCGAAGTCCCTTGTGGCATAATAAGATAACATATTCACCAGTTCCAAGGATTAAGGCATGGACATCTTTAGGAGCCCTTATTCTGCCTACTACAGATCTCAGTTGGGGCCATGCAGTATATCCAGTATTTCTTACGAGTATTTTCTATACTTTATGTTTGAATAATATGAATACTGGTAATAACAGGTAAATTTTATTGAATGTTCCAAGCACTATTCTGAGCCCTTTTACTGCATTCACTCATTAAACTTCAGAACTACCCCTAGAGGCAAATACTGTTACTCCCACTTACAAATAGGGTACAGAGAGCAAAGTAACTTGCCTAACTTCTCACAGCCATTACATGGTGGAATGAGGTTTGGAACCTAGACGGTCTGGTTCCAGAGCCTGTGCATGCTCTGAACCTCAACATAATAAAGATAATTTCTGAATATATGAATTTACTAAACATGTGTTAGTGATGTAATGGCTATGAATTCAGGATCTGGCATCACATCACATTGGATTCAAATTCTGCCTAACAGTTACTGGATGACCCTGGACAAGTTACTTTACTCAATCAATAATAAACCAAACTAATAATATTAACACTTGGGGATTAAATGTGTACTATATGTAAGATAGTTAGAATAGTGTTTCCAAACAGTCATGCATCACTTAACAACAGAGATGAATTCTGAGAAATGCGTCAAATGATTTCATTATTGTGTGAACATGACAGAGTATGCTTACATAACCTAAATTTTGTGTAGGCTATACTACACATCTACCTAGGCTGTATGGTACAGCCTATTGCTCCTAAGCTACAAACCTGTACAGCATGTTACTGTACTGAATACCGTAGGCAATTGTAACACAATGGTATTTGTGTATCTAGACATGTGTAAACATAGAAAAGGTGCAGTAAAAATGCAGTATTTTAATCTTAAGGGACCACCATTGAATACATGGTTCATCATTGTGTTGGTATGTGGTACATAACTGTAGTAAGCTATTGCTAGGTATAATTATTAGTGACAATTCAACTTTTAAAAACAGTATTTATTATAAAAGGAAATGTTTCCTTTAGGTATATTCACATTCTATTTGTGAAATAAAAACTAAAAGTTAAAATTTAGACTTTCCTTTTAATGTACCACAATGCTATCTCCTTTCTCAGCCTCTGATTTCTTCTCACTCCAGTCTAGCCTCTATCTTTCTAGCAGCGTTAACCTTCAGTGTCATTTGATCATGTACTTTAAACACTTTGTCAAGACTCTAGTTGTCCCAACTTAATGTCCAAACTTTCTAGAAAGGCACCGGGACTTTTCACACACTACAAATATTCTCTCCTGCCATCCCTCTGCCTAGCATTTACACAGCCGTCAGTTCAAACTTCTCATTGTTCTCATTTGCTGTTATTATTCCTTGAGGGAGGCCCATGTATATGTGTGAGTGGCAGGGGCATAGCCTGGGTCCCTGGCTATCACACCTTCAAATACCACTCCAAAACTCCCCCTCTCTTCTATTAATAATAATCTTTACTGCCATTCCCTTAATTCAATCCCTTGTTATCCCTGCACTTTGAGTCATCTCATAACAAATTGTTGGCCTCCAGCCTAACTGCCCTTCAGGCTTATTCTCTTCCCTGCTTGCTAGAATGATCTTTCTTTCTTTCTTTCTTTCTTTTTGAGACAGAGTCTCGCTCTGTCACCCTGGGTAGAGTGCAATGATGTCATCATAGCTCACTACAACCTCAAACTCCCGGACTGAAGTGATCCACTTGCCTCAGCCTCCTTAGTAGGTGGGACTGCAGATCCACACATGACACCCCCAGCTAATTTTTCTATTTTTAGTAGAGATGGGGTCTCACTCTTGTTCACACTGGTCTTGAACTCCTGAGCTCAAGCAATCCACCCACCTTGGCCTCCCAGAGTGTTAGGATTACAAGGGTGAGCCACTGC